GGCACAGAACAGGTAGACTGATGAAGTATACTGCTGAGGGGAGCAGTGGGCGGGGCAGGAGAGGTCTGCGCGCCATGTGGGACCCTTGCTGGCGGCCGGGGATTGAACTGGCACTGCAGAGGCTGTGGACAGCTTCGCAGCCCAGCGCTCAACTGCTGCGCCACCAGGGGAGGCCCCCTTTAAAGGATTGTTAATGATAAAAGAGAGAGCAATCTAAAAGACTTAGAAATATACCTGGCACACAGTGCTAAATGAGTATTAATTATTATTTTTACTATTACATGGAGGTAACATGGAGGTGAAATAGTTATAGTATGAAGGAAGGTGAGAGGATGAACACCATTGTTCACTGTTAACAGAATTTAACATGTAATTGGAATAGAATTGAAGGGTCCAGGATGCCGAGATTTTAAGCTTGAGTGACTGGAGGGTAGAAAGAGAGAAGTTAGAAGCAGCAATTTTGGGGAAGGAAGAAGATAGATGTAATTTTTACACGTGGAATTTGGGTTCTAGGTAACTTTTCAATGGAGATTCCAGGAGGCAGCTGTATATGCAGAACTGGAACTCCGGAGAAATAATATATTTGGAATTTAAGCTCATAGAGATTATAGCTGAATTTGGGGGGTGGGATGGGAGAGAATGGGCAGAAGAATAAAGCTTTGTGCTAAAGATGGAAACCCAAAAAAAGTCAGACCCTGAAGTTGAATCATCTTGAAGGGAGCATGGTCGAGTCAACTCTTATCTGAACATGCAGCTTCTACATATGAATTAGTTTCGATATTCTAAAAAGCCACTTGTTTATTTACGAATAAATGAAGCCACTTGTTTATAAATATTAGTTTAATTAAAATTGGAGATTATGTATAACTTCTTTTATCCAGGCACACATGCAAAGTAAAGCTTTTAGTCTACAGAGTACTTAAAGCATCATGAATAAAACGTGACCTGTGACAAGTGAGTGAGGGCATCAATATTAGCCCATATGTACGCTAAAAATTCAAAAAGCTAATATTAACTTTTTGTGTGTGTGCCTTCATATGTAATATTAGAAATACTGCCCTAGAATCTGGTGGCCTTCACTTGTTCTGAAAATGTACACATATTTCCTGGAAATGTTACCCAGTAGTTCCTGGATGGACGGACGGGGGGTGGGGGGGGGTGGGGTGTGTGTGTGTGACCTTAAGCTTTCTTGCTTAAGCTTTAATTACAGTCACATCTCCGTCCAGTAGCAGACTAGAGTTTTTCTGAGTTGTGTTGAGCTTGACTTTACTGGTGTTAGCTTTGTAAAGCCTCAAATGGTACCATTCTACTTTAAGCCAACTGTAAATACACGTATAGGAATCTGGCAGTATTTGTTTAGTAAGTAATTTATAACCATGTGATCATGATCACACTAATGAGCACCACATACAATAAATTACCAGGAATAGGACAGGATTTAGCAGAATTCTTAAAATATAAGGCACTTACATTAGTTTCTAGGCTAGTTATATTGCAGTTATCTTCAATCTAAAATAAAAGCAATAGGGCCTCCCTGGTGGCGCAAGGGATTAAAGACACAGCACTATCAAGCTTTTACCAGCCACTGTAGCATGAGTTCGATCCCTGGCCAGCCAGGGACCAACCTACATGGCGCAGCAGCCCTCTCCTGTCTTGCCCGCTGCTCCCCTCTGCGTGTATTTCTAGATCCACCTGTTCTGCTCCCCACTCTGTCTCTGGTGAATCCTCTCACCCCTTGCACCTCTGGCCTACATCCCAGCACTTGTATGCATAAATAAACAAATCTTAAAAATAAAGGCAATAGCAATTTTTTCGCTAAAGTAGTGATAAATTTCCAACCATTCATTCTTACTTGGTTATTATATCCTGAACTCCATGATTATTGTCTCCTGTTTATGAATTGGCCAGATGCCCATGAAGCTACTCTTGACAGTAGTTAAGAATGCAATTATTATGTAATGTTTATGTGAAACTGAGTACTTTACAGTTATTGGAGTCGTTTTATATTCACACTTGGTATTTACCTAAGGTTGGTAGAGGATTATTATCCTTATTTTTTGGATTAGGAAACAAGAGACAGTCTAGTGATACAAACATTTGCACTGCTCTTTGTTACTTTGTGTCCATTTTATGGGATTAATTCCTCCTCCCATTTCCCCTTTTCCTGTGTTTACTCTTTCCCCCAAAAGACACACATTAAAAAAGGGGGTGGTGATTACCCCAGGCTTCTTACATAATCTTAGATGATGTGACTGTTTAATAAGTTGATCATAAAGGGAGCGAATATACAGTCAAACTGAATTATTTTTAAGTTTTTAATCAAACTACATATGGGAACACAAATGCCTTTTTTTCCCCCAGAACAAAGCATAGTGCACATAGATCCTACATGAGTGCTTCCAGTGTATTGAGAAATTGTCTTTCATAAATTTTGATTAGGTCAGTAAGTAGTTGAAGGACTTTTTCCAAATAGATGTGTGGTTACAGTTGTGTCTATGGTATTCCTTAGCTGTGCTAATGCACACTTTGTGGTATGTACTGAACACCTTCTAGATTGGGGTTTTTGTCTTGGACCAGAGAGACTGATGTTTTTATTTTCATTTATTTATTTTTTGAGACTGATATTTTTAGATGAGTCATGGTGTTCTTAAATAATCAGTTGCTCTAGATTTCCTACCTGTGATTTATAATCTTTGCTTTACCCCTAGTGAGGTAATTAGAACAAAAGAACCCTGATTTCTTAGAGGATTGTGCAAATGGATGTCACCATTTCCACAGTGTAGCAGCTATAGTTTCAAAACACTCTTAGAATTTAGCCAGAGCATTCCTTCTGTAAGTGTGCAGCTGTGGAAACATTTCCAACAAGGGGGCTAGGCTAAGGCGATTTCTTTGAACTAAAGAGAAAAAATTAGTGTCTTTCTGGAAAGCAATATTGATCTACCAGACTGTTTCATCTCCACTCTTGGTTGGTGACCAGATAGCCCCAAGTCCCAGTCCTTGTGGATAGTTGCAGCTTTAACAAGCTTGAAAACCCTTAAGTTTTCCTGTTTAAACTTTGAAATGTATGAGAATCTGACATCTTGCATTTTGGAGTACTTTTCTCAGGAGAATGATGGGGAAAATTAAAGATAAAGCTTGATGGATTTATGTTCCAGGCTGAGAAGACCCACAGGTTCTTATGGTTTTGGTTCTCCATTGAATTATGAATTCCAAAAGGGGAAGAGAACTTGTAACAGAGCACAGAACTGAGAATCTGAGCATATGGGTTTCAGTTCCAGCTCTAGCTTACACTTGCCCTGTGACTTATGAACAAGTCCCTCAGTCTGTTAGGATAAAGTATTGTTATCTGTCAGATGGGATTATTAGTACCTGTGCTGTGTTTGTACAAAAACAAAAACAAAAACAAAACAAGTGAAATATGTAGAGAAACTTTTCAAAGTGAAAATGTGCACAAATGCAAGGGATCAGCGTGACTATCTCCTTTGCTTTGCACTCTTTGAACTAGTCTTTACAGTCTTAGTTCCTGACAGCTTGTGTACTTAGAGGTGGGAGGTTTAGGGTTTGGTTGGCTTGGAGGATTTGTTCTTCTCATTCTTACTTTCTTTCTCCCCCCCCCCCCAGTACCAGGAGTAGGGCAGCTTCATTTATAGGACTTTTTGATTAAAGACTCTAAGCAGAGGGCAGAATTCATTGTGTCTGTGAATCAACAGAATCCATACTGCCAAGTCAATACAGCCAAACTCATTGACATTCTTACCACACCCTGTAGGTTTTAGTTGAGAATTCTCTGTTGTTACCCTCTCCCACTTTTTCTAAGTGGATTAAATCACCAGTGCAATTTTCTATTTTCCAGCGGAGTCTTATGATTTCTCTCCATCCCCAATCTTTTTTGATTCTTCCATTGATTTAATGCACAGAGGTTTTTGTTTTTTTTTTAAAGATTTTTATTTATTTATACAAGAACTGGAGTACAGGTCAGAGGCGCAGGAGGGTGAGAGAATTCACCAGAGACAGAGCAGGGAACAGAACAGGCAGACAGACCAAAGATACTACTGAGGGGAGCAGTGGGCGAGGCAGGAGAGGTCTGCCATGCCATGTGGGAAATCTCCCTGGCCGGCTGGGAATCGAACCCGCGCTGCAGAGGCTGTGGACAGCTTCATAGTGCTGCTTTCAACCCGCTGCGCCACCTGGGAGGACCCTGCACAAAGGTTATTGATAACTAAGCACATGTACTTAAGGGATTTCCCCATCCACACATTTCAAAGACAACTCAAAAGGAGACTAAGATACTTAGGGTCTTAAAAGTAATTCTTGAGAATGTTCTGTTCATTCAGTTCATGTGTATTAAATACTCGCTTGAGAATATGCCAGAAACAAAGACAGTTGCATAAGAAGTAGGGGTAAATAATGAGCATGAAAATTTTAGGCTTAAGAAATAATGTGCTGGGGACTCCCTGGTGGTGCCGGCAGTTGAACACAGTGTTGTGAAGCTGTTCACAGCCTCTGCAGCGCAGGTCTGATCCCTGCCAGCTGGTGAGATACCCACATGGAGCGGCAGACCTCTCCTGTCTTGCCTGCTGCTCCCCTCAGCAGTGTATTTCGTTCGTCTGACTGTTCTGCTCCCCACTCTGTCTCTGGTGAATCCCCTCACCCTCCCGCATATCTGGCATGTACCCCAGTTCTTGTATGCATGAATAAATAAATCTTTAAAAAAAAGAAAAGAAATAATGTGCCGGGTAATACGTCACATAAACACGTCTGAAGAAAGTGTTTGTGCTACAGTGTGCTAATTGTAGAAATAGATTTTAATGAGTGCCAGAAATGACTTCTTGGGGAGAGAGAAATTTAGTGGTCACTGACTAGTGAATGTGTCTATTTAGTTTAATTTCTTATAACAATTATTTCTGACAGTACAGTTGTACTGTAAAAGTAAACTTCTTAAAGTGCTATTTAAAAAAAATATTAAAATAGTTTTAAAAATTCCTTTTACTTTACTCCAGGGTCTTGAATGGACATGGAAGCAGCCAGAGGTCTTTTCAGAACAGAATCTCTTTACTTGGTTGGTGGGGCCCGGTGGGGTGGAATGTAGCCTAGACTCCTGGTCTCCTCTGCCACAGCAAACAAGATTCCTTCTGCAAGACAACATCCACACACACCTAACCTACAGAAGAGTCTGAGGTATTCAAGGAGGCATGTTTTAAGAATTGAAATGTTTTTGGATTATTCTGAAGGGGAAAATGTGTAGCTACAGATCATTGATGTTCTGAGATTTAAATTTGGAGCATTCCTAATCACTTCCATCTTGAGTTCTTTGCTTATTTGGAATTAGTACATTCATTCTAAATTTAATAGTTTAAAGAACTCTAAAACTTACTTCAGTTTTAGATGGGAGATTTTAAATGGGAGATTTCCACACATTTGTTTCTGTGCTTCTGAAACTGGGCTTTTAGGAAACTTGGTGAAAATTAAGTACTCTAGAAGAGAAGAGGAAACAGGTTCGGTCAGCCTTGCTACTGTGTCTGGTGCTCTTCAGGCCAGTCGATGTTACTTCGTTAATGAGCAGCAATGATGATAATGCCATCTGGCATTTGTGTGATGCTTGACATCTTTCAGTCTTCTAACTGTATTGTGGTTTCATTTATAACTGTATTTTCCCATTTCTGTGCTACAACTGCCTGCCTGTGAGGTGCTGTCGGTGAACTGAGGTCTGAAGAAGTTAAGTGATTTGCCCAAGATCATAAACATACAGCAGGTTAGTAGAGCCAGAGAGCCTCCACGTCCAATACATTTTCTTTTTGTATTTTACCCTGTACTTTACTGCCCCCAGCTGTTCGCAGCTAAGTATTCATAGGTGCTGCTGACTGGCCGATAGACATGCAAAGAGAAAGGATGAAACAGAAGAGAGTAACAGGCATGCAAAGTGAAATAGGAGAGAGATGTTATAGGAGATGCACTGCATTTTCCCTTCTGTGGTTGCCACAGAGATGTTGGGAGCAAGTGGATAAAAGTGATCTTTCGATTTAAGGATCTGAGTCAGTTAGCCAAGTGAGACAGCTCATCTCTCTCAACAGTTTGAATAAAGGAACAAAATTTTAGAGCTTTTGTGTTTCCAGCTTCACCATTTACTATATTGTGATCTTGAGCAGTTAACTTCGGATACCCAATCCTCAGTTTATCTATAACACTGGGGTAATATTGCTATCTTTATCAGTCACTGAGCTGGGTAGAAGATAAATTGAGGGTTATGTATGTAATAAGTAGTTTGTAAACCCTAAAACTCTAAAGTTGGCATCTTTGAAACATTCTTTAAACACACTTGGGCACATATAGACATAGAATCTTACCAGAAGCTTGTTAAGAGGTTCTCAGGGTTTCTGAATCTCAAAAGGGATCTAGTAAGCAAAACAAGTCTTTGTTTTAGGATATCGTTTAACTCAGGCTACAGGCACAGTTTCTATGTGTAGCTCATTTGAGAGTTCTCTGTCAGTCTTCAAGCTGAAAAACCAGTTACTGTAATTCCTGCAAGAATTTATTTACTCTCACTAGATTGGATGGTTAAAGAGATTAGTTATATTTTTGTGGGGCAAAGGAGGCTGGCCCCTGTGACTCCTAATGGAAGCGGAACAGGTGAGGGAGCCATGTAACAGTTGGGTGATCTAGGGAAAGCTTCTCAATCTCTGGCACTCGGCGAATGAGGGATGACACTACCCCTGTCATAGAAGGATTCAATGAAATAGAACACTTATGAGTGCTTTAGAATGGGTCTTAATATTATTACCTCATTTTGTGTGTGTGTGTGTGTGTTTTTGAAGATTTATTTATTTATACAAGCACTGGGTATAGTCAGAAGCATGGAAGGGTGAGAGAATTCACCAGAGCCAGAGTGGGGAAAGAACAGGCAGACTGACGAAATACACTGCTGAGGGAGCAGTGGACGGCAGGAAAGGTCTGCGCGTCATGTGGGACCCTCACCGGGCGGCCGGGAATCACACCAGTGCTGCAGAGGCTGCGGGCAGCTTCGCAGCCCAGCGCTCAACCTCAGCGCAACCAGAGGAGGGCCATGTGTATGTTTTTTAATTACCCTTTTTTTGTAAAGGACCAGATCTTACTTTTGGCTGTTGTAACCCCCAGCTCTACTTTTATTGAGTGAAAGCTGGCGTAGACAATGTAAATGAATGAGGGATGCAGTCTTCAGTAAAATTTGATTCATAAACCAGACTGTGGGCCAGATTTGGCCCGTGTGCTATGGTTAACAGAACCTTATTTTACAAAAATTTGATAAAATATTTGGTCTTTTTACATCATGCAAATACTGATAGTTTTATTTTTGTCATATATGTAGGAATGATTTGAGTTGACCATTATGAAGGAATGAGGAAGAAAATGTGTGGAATATGATGTTTACATACCATTTTCTTTTCCACAGAAAGATTTTAAAATATTCTGTTCAGGCCTTCCTATCAATTTCATTGCTTATGTCAGCTGCTTTGTCTTTATTTTTTTCCAGTTGTACTACATCTATTTTATGATCTGGCCCATTTGTAAACAGATTATGTTGTAGTAGATAGCAAACAGAAACGTATTTTTGAAGGAAAAGTATGTGTGCTGCCAATTTGAAAATGTGTCTTTGTGAGCAGATCTATAGGGAGAGCAGTGTGCTAACTTTAAAGACTAAGTTCCATTCCTTGGTCATTTGGAAAGCATGGTTTCCTAGTAGGCAGTTTGAAAAATGACATCATACTTGCTTGCTGCTAAAAATAGACTTATCCTCAAACATTGAACTTAAAGATGGGGGAAGGGGTCACCAATGAGGCTACATTATTTATTCATAAGTAGTGGGTTCTGTGTAATAATAGACTGGTAATTATGACCAGCTGGTGTCCAGTCAGATAAGGCTTTAGAACTTAAATAGTAACTTTTCTAGTGCTAAACTTAGTGCTTTCTTCCTTGATGAAATAGAAACCTTAGATGCGCTTCTCCGGTCACCCTGCCTTCCCTTGCATTGGGCATTGAGAGGTAAAACTTGTCTGGGATGGGTCAGCTCCAGTACTTTAATAGGAAGCAGCATTAGTTAAGGATTAGACTTCATTTTAGGGGAATATGTTGTATTCTTTTTCCTTGTGATGTAAGGTTTTAGGTATGATCTCCCCATCAACATTTGGCTTTAGTTACCTCAGAGGGTTTAGAGAGCTAAAATCTAAAGGTATAGTGTTTCAGAAACCAGTGAATATTATAATAGAACCCTGTGTTTCTTTGTATATTATGAGGTTGATCATTTTGATGCATCCTGTTCCACATCTAGGCATATCACTAAGGGAGGATTTGGCGAGCATGGTACCTGGTCAAGAGCAAGAACCTGAAAGATTTCCAAGAGAATCTTAAAAGAGGAGCATTCTGCTTCTGGGATGTTTTGGAAACTGCTTAGGTCTCTTTCTTTCTTCAAGAATGATAAAAAGTAACTGGATATTAGAGTGACAGCTAGATTTATCCACGTTTGAGTGACGTGATTGAATCATCTCATTTCCTCCATGATTTTCTCCTGTCTTCCTGCTAATGGATGGCCAAACAGAGGTATTTGCCCTCCTTCTGCTCCTTATCTATTGTCATTAATTTTTCAAATTTTTCTAATCTGTCCTGGTTACCTTTCTGAGAAGGGTTCTGACTTTTAAAAGAGTTATACTTGGGAATAGTATACACCCCTGTTTCTAGCCTTTCAGTCCGCCTTGCAACTTCCAGCACTGTGTGCACACACATATGTGGGGGGGGGGGGGTTGTGTTTGTGTTCTTCCTATCATAACTTTTCTCTTAAATTGACTTCAGGCAGTCTGCCTCAGGTGGATTTCTGATATGAAGTTCCTTCTTAGTGTAAAGATCCAGACCCTCATTTATTCTGAGCTTCCTACGACATCATGTGTGACCACTTCCATTGGTTGTTCAAGTAATCCCAATAAGTCTATTTCAGGGTCAAGCTTTCCAAGAGGTATCTTTTTCTCAGAAAGGCCATACCCACCAACTCTCTTAATCTTTCATTCATGAGTAATTACATATCAGACTGTGTGCTAGATGCTATGAGGAATCCAGAGATAAATCATACTCATATCCTACCCACTGGGCGCTTGTAAACCAGAAGGGGATGTATAATAAGACATACACATAATAGTGATCATGCAAGGTAATGTGAGGGCAGAAAGAGGTTATAGATTAAGGACTTGGACCGCAGGAAGGAGTGACCACTTCCAGGTGGGAATATTTAAAAAGAACTTGTGGAAAGATGACAGTTGAACTGAGCATTGGAGAAATAGTGTTTTCCTGATGGACTTTGATGCTTCCCTTTCTAACTTTGGAACGCAAACTGTTTTTAAAACCAGGTAAATTAATAGATATTGGGACTTGAAATTACTTCTAGCAACAACCATTCAATACTTCATCTGATTCTTAAGTCTTTATTAAATCATTAAATAGCAGGCTTATTTAAGTATTTATAAAGTAATTAATGAATGTGAATGATAAATCTGATATTAATAATGAATTAAATATGGGAAATTCTATATTGCATTTTTCATTAGAGTGATCTAAGCTAATGTGGTTTGCTTTTAAGGCAGTTTTATCCTTGTCAACTGTATATAAATGTGGTGGAGAGAGCAGTTTAACATGGAATAAAAAGGATCCTGAAATATAAATCTCTTTGCTTTAAATACCTACATTCTCTCATCACCCTAGAAAATAAACCTGGTGCATTTCCCATGGACTGTAGATGTTATAAATAGGTTATTTCTGTGGCAAAAAAAAAGAAGTGATAATATTAACTGAGTTTGCTGTTTGGTTTTTTTTTAACTTGTTGAGATGTTTGGTGAGCAAAATTTGTGTTTATGATTAGGTTTTATTATTTTATTATTTTAACGTTAAGATGTGCCTTAGACAGAAAATACTGAGAACACCAGTTTGTTTTCATAAAATTGGTTCCTTGATATTTGGTCTAATTTTTTTTTAAAGGCAAGCCATTGCTTTTTTTTTTTTTTTTTTAAAGATTTATTTTATTTTATGCATACAAGAGCTGGGGTACAGGCCAGAGATGTGGAGGGTGAGAGGATCCATCAGAGACAGAGTGGGGAGCAGAACAGGCAGATGTACCAAAATACACTGCTGAGGTGAGCAGTGGGCGAGTCAGAAGTCTGCTGCATCATGTGGGTCACCTCCCCGCCTGGGGATCAAACTCGTGTTGCAGTGGCTGAGGCTAGCTTCCTAGTGCTGTGTCTTAACCCATTGTGCCACCAGGGAGGCCCTGGTCTAATTTTTAAAGCCCCATGTAAAAACTGGATCTGTTTAAAGGAAAGCTTTTTAAATGAAATATTCACCTTTTTTTGGAACTTTGCAATAGCAACGTATATCCTTTCAAGCGATATTAAAATTATTAGCTACTAATCATCTTGTGTAGAGATGCTCTAAGACATGCTCTAGATCTTTTTCTATTTATCTTCTGACTGTGATGAGAAGGGACAGTCTAGAATTTAGAAAATTAGTTTTCTGGGTGGAAAAGTCTTAGTGGCTATTATTCTAAATCCAACGCTTAAAAGGAACTTTGTAAATTCAATTTAATGTAAAGAAGAATCATCAAAGCAGTCCACAGATAGAAAAGAATGTCTTACCACTGAGCCATTTTCCAAGAACTGGAAAAGGAGAAGGTCATATTTAAGCTGAAGACCACTTTGAGTGAGATTGAGGGGACTGGGTATAGGTTTGTAGTAGAACTGTGCCATTGTTTAGAGGGGTGGTATTGTGGTTCCTGATATCATTTTTAGTTGTAAACTTCTGTAATACAGTAAAATATAAAGGATATTAACATTGACTAGTCTCTTCCCCCATTATCTCTTTGTGATAATACACATGGGCATCTCAAATTAAACACTTAACCTTTAGTACATTTTTGTGTCCAGAGAGATTTGGTAATTTGGACCCAGCCCCCACTCTCACAGTATGTGTTTATGAGACTGCCAAAAGCTCATTCAAAATCTACTGACTGACTACAGATGTTTGGGAAATGATTGTGCCCAACTCATTCTTAGTTGGGGCAACTCAAAAATTTAAAAGCAAACTACATACAGATGGTTTTAAAGTGCTTCTTGAATTGTGCGCCTTTCTAATTAATGTCTATGGTAAGAGATCAGAAGATAGTTCAGACTTGTTACCACCTTTCTAAAATCTCACAAATCTTTGAATTCAGACTAAACCTACTCATCATTTGCAAGTATGCAAGATAGCACTGGTATTTGTGCATCTTCCCCCCTTTGACCATAGCAATTTACGTGGCAGATTTTCCTAAGATCCAGCCTACCCATGAGTCCATACAATAAAAGGTTAGGTGTTTTTTAAAGTTTTTTGACCGTTATCTTAATTTCTAGATTTCTTTATTAGCCCCACTTTAAAAGTCAGAGTGAATTGCTTTGTTGTCTAGAGTATCCTATACTTTGTTACTAAAAATAAATGTTACTCTATTTTGATTTATTCATTCTTTTTTATTTATTAATTTTTTTTTACATCATTGTTCATTTTTAAACTATTTGCTTTCCCTCATCCCCTCAGATTGATTTATTCATCATTAGCACATCTAAGAGAATAGTGTGTATAGGCTGTATGCATGTAGTGGTAAGTGAACATATCATGTGAGTTAAGAGGACCTTACTTGGTTATTTATGATTCAAGATTTTATCTAGTCATTTCCAACTGTGATTTAACACTCTTCACTTGAATTCTCTGTAGAAACTTCAAGATCGTATTGCTTCCTAGTACTTAGAGTTCCTGTTGATGTATAGAGCGGCTTGTAGGCCTCTAGTGCCAGAAATTGGCTTCAAACCTTTTCCCATTACATCACCACCCACTAATGTCATTACACCAGAATGAAATCTGTTTGAAGATTGTATTCTTGTTTTCCTTCTGTTTCTTTCCTCTCGTCATTTCCTTTAGAAGGAAAACTAAAAAAATCAGAGACCTTTAGGAAAAATTCAGGCAAACATTGAATCAAATATCCTCACAGTCTAGATTTATCAACCTTTCATTCCATCCTGCTAAGCTGCATGCATTTACAGGGAGCCTGGAAAGTAACACATTTGGTCATGTGACTCCTGGCTTTTGTCCTTTTCTTTTAGGCCTCCAGAATTAGGTTTTGTTTTTTTAAAATATTTTAAAAGGAATGGGTTTATTAGGAAAAGGGAAAAGAAAAAAAGAGACCTGCATAGTGACAGGCAGGCAAGGAGAAGAGCTTCCTAGAGCTAGTTCTTAATGACTTCCATAATTCTCTCCCAGGATCCTGCCACTGGCATGGATAATGGTAACATTTTCAAGTAATCTCTCAGAATAGAAATTCTTAGGGTGTCACTAAGTTTCTCATCCTTTGTGTTTAATTAAACTTTCTGCATTTAAGTATTTTCCAAATAAACATTTAAGCCATCTGGAGTTTTTTACTTACCCCCTAAAATTCTTGAAGCCATTACAATATTATCTGCAGTAAAAGTTGATGTGGGGATTCTTGTTTCTGTCTCCCTCATCACAAAATAGGTAACTAAATGCAGGTTCTGTCTTCACTCTAACCTAAAGTTTAATTTCTTGTTAGTTTCTAACCCTCTGTAAAACTTCTATGATGGTGTGCTTTCTTTGGTTTTGTGCTGAATAGCAAAGTTCAGGTAAGGCGAGAACTGGGAGGTAGTTCAGTTCAGAGACTGTGCCACCCATTCAATTATTCGCTTTTCTTTTAGGCTTTTATATCCTTTGGGGTAGGTTTATTTGAGAATACAAAGAATAATATTCATCAATGGCCCAAAAGAAATGAAGCTACAGGTACTAAAACAAAAGAATAACCTTGACTCTTATTTCTTAAGACTTCTGGTTTACATTTCTTCATAGTATTAATCACTGGGAACCCTTGTTGTATCTGCTACAGATTATGGCATGGAGTGTGAGAAGCCATGCAGAACTTGGAAAACTATTGGGGGGGAATAGGATTTAAAATTATAGACTAGACTGGGGAAACCAAGTGCCTCCCCCAAGATAAGACATTGAAAGCCCTTGATTCAAAATAAGATTTTAGTTTGGATTTCTAGCAATTTTAGGATTTCTAGTTGGAGCTCCTTGATTGTCTTTGTGGTATAATCTGGGTGGTAGAAGGGAGTCATTTCCTCCATGTATTTTTGCTGAGTCTGTGTTAAAAGCCTCTTTGGCACCATTATATACCTTCTCAGACTGAAAATTGAATGAGTGAAAACACAAATAAGGAGAGATATGACTTACTTGGACAGAAGGTCTGACTTTATTTCTCATGTGTCTCATGTTTGTTTTCAGTTGTCAAAATGTCCACAGAAGGTGGATTTGGTGGCACTAGCAGCAGTGATGCCCAGCAAAGCCTACAGTCCTTTTGGCCTCGTGTCATGGAAGAAATCCGGAATTTAACAGTGGTAAGAAAGCGTGAGAAACTTTTTTTTTTTTTTAAGATTTATTTATTTATACAAGCACTGGGTACAATCAGAAGCGCGGGAGGGTGAGAGAATTCACCAGAGCCAGAGCGGGTAACAGAACAGGCAGACTGACAAAGAAATACACTGCTGAGGGGAGCAGCGGGTGTGGCAGGAGAGATCTGCCGCGCCATGTGGGACCCTCGCCAACGGCCGGGGATCAAACCAGCACTGCTGAGGCTGCGGGCAGCTTCACAGCCCAGCGCTCAACCCCTGCACCACCAGGGGAGGCCCAAGAGTGAGAAACTTTTAAAGAATGTAAAGAGCTATGGGATGAATACTTAAAGCATTTTTTATTCTTAAGCTCATTCACTAAGGCATAGTTCATTCCTGACCTTTGGTGGGAAAGTGAAAATATAATTTATTTTAGGTGAGGTAACTACATGGCTCTTTTTGTATCTTAGTGGTTTCTCTTTTAGGCATGTGGCCTATAGTGACTGCTTTGACTTGGAGCTAGTTTAATGTGATATGTATATGTTAGTGAATGCAGAAAAGCAGAGCTTCCACCTTCCTTACATAGATGTAGCTCTTTTCTTAGGCCTGATCTATTGGCCCTGCCACATTTCTACAACTTGGTCAAAACTGTTGGTTAAACAGCTCTATTGTAAGCAGACCCTCTTTCCTGATATTAAAAAATACACTTAAATCGGGTTTTTCAACAATAGTATTATTGACATTTGGAGCTGGATAATTTGTGGGTATGGGGACTGTCCTGTGCATTGTAGGATGTTTAATAGTATCCCTGTCCTCTATTCACTGGATACCAGCAGCACCCCATCTCCGGCTTTAACAGTCAAAAATATCTCCAGACATTGACAAATGTCCCCTTGGGGTTAAAATCATCCCCTGTTGAGAAACATTGACTTAGAAAAACCAAGTATAACCTTGATTCTTGAGGAGCTTATATCTAGTAATTATAACCAGACTCACTTATTCAGTAACTGTTTATTAAACACTTACTGAGTCAGGCACAGTGATGACTCTGAAGCAAAAAAAGTCAAAGTCAGAGCAAGGAGGACATAGTTCCTTCTTGGTTGTGTTAGAAAGGCTTTAAGTAAAGGGAACATCTTTGTTGGTCTGGAATTTTGAGTAGGCATTCACCAGATGGAAAGAGCACAAGAGTATATCTTAGGACATTCGTAAGAGATTCAGAGTGGCTGGAGGTTACTGTGTAGGTAGTAGGGGTGTGGTGGGTAGGAGTAAAGTGTTATAACAATGGTAGTAAGAGATGAGACAGGTAAAAATTAGATTATTTTCATAGTATAATGTCATGTTCTGAATGAAGAATGTTCCATTGATATCATTTTAGCAAATACTAAAGGAACTCTGTTAGATATTCCTTCCCTGAAGGTGATAGTGTCCAGGCAGAGCAGACACTGGATTCCTTCCTAATATAGAACTAATGTTGCAGTTTCATGAAACTCTTGACCCTTAACCTCTGATGTACTAAGTCATTTTATTTATTCACCCAACAGATACTTATTATGTACCACTGTGGCGATGCTAGATGCTATGGATTCAGTAGTGAACCAGACAGACAATATCCTTGCACTCACAGAACATACATTCTGGTGGGGGAGATGGACAGAAAAAAAAAAAACCTTATTGTGCTAAGTGCCCACTGACTCAGGGGGAGAAAACTAATTCATATTCTGGATGTACCTCTGGGTCATATTTGTTTCTATGGATGATTTTTTCAGCAGTTGAATTTGAGTTGGCCTATCTAAGAGTGGCCTGTGTTCACAGGTGAATTTCCACTGAAGTCAGTTGTTTATTGTCTGCAGTCTAAAGATGATAATTGCTTATACTGTCTCATATATGAAGAAAGAACGGAGAAGAAATTATAAAGTCAAAAGTAGAGAATTTTCTGGGAGTAACCTCATGGTTAAACTTATCAGGCTTTAGTGGTAGGCTCAGCCTGGTGTAAAACTAGAGCCCTCTGGGGTGTGGTTAGACTGGGTGTGCGGCAAGTCTGTGTTCCAGCTGGAGGTTTGGGCAGGTGGTCAGAAAAGCTCCGGAGGTTCAAGCTTAGCATTTCACTTTTCTGTATTTTATTAAACTTTTCAAAAAATTATTATGTTAAAAAAATCTACAACAAAATTTACCATCTTAACCATTTAAAACCGTGTGGTTCGTAGTGTTAAGTATATTCCCATTGTTGTATAACAGATGTCTAGGATTTTCTATCTTGCAAATCTGAAATTGTAGACCCATTAAACAACAACTCTTCTCAGCCCTTGGTAACCGCCATTCTACTTACTGTTTCTATGAATTTGACCACTATAAGTGGTCCAGTTGTGCAAGTGGAATCATATAGTATTTGTCTTTTTGAACTAACTTCACATGCAATACTACCTTGAAGGTTCATCCACGTTGCAGCATGTGGCAGGATTGCTTTCCTTTTTTTTTTTTTTTTTTTAAAGATTTATTTATTTATGCATACAAGAACTGAGGAAAAGGCCAGAGGCTTGGGGGGGTGAGAGGACTCACCAGAGGCAGAGCGGAACAGAACAGGCAGATCAACTGAAATACACTGCTGAGGGGAGCAGCGGGCGAGTCAGGAGAGGTCTGCTGCTCCATGTGGGTAGCTCCCTGGCCGGGGATTGAACTCGTGCTGCAGTGGCTGCGGATTGCTTCATGGATTGCGTCTTAACCCCTTGCGCCACCAGGGAGGTCCCCTGCTTTCCTTTTTAAAACAATAATATTCCACATACATGGGTATGTGCCACATTTTGTTCATCTATCTGTCAGTGAACTTTTAGGTTGTGTCTCTCTACTTCTTGGCTCTACTGGGTAATGTTGCAGTGAAGGTGGATGTGCAAGTATCTCTTTGAGACCCTGGCCTTTGATTTTTACTCGCCTTGTCTTAATTTTCATTTTGATTCCCAACAAAGCTGGCCAACTTTTAGTACCTAGAGAGCTAGTCCTTCAGAGGTTAAAAGTAGACTACTCTGAGACATTCAATTTTAGTTATGTTTAGTGAATAAAGAGAAAGAACAGTAAGGATGAAAGTTGTCTTTAATCATTTTTCTATTGATGAGTAAAATTTTCTTCCTGTCTTTGAAGAAGACCCCTACAATGACATTTGCCATTTAATAATTGATATATATATACTAAGTAAAAATAATAAGTATTTTGAGTAAATCAGATTTAGTGCAGAGCAACATCATTGACAAGTTTGAGTGAGAACGCACTCCAGTAAAATTGGAGTGATTTCCCTCTTATATGTAAGACTTTTATTTTCCTCTCTGCCAGGTTCTTTAGCATTTAGTCGATGCCCTTCAGAACTCATCAGCACTTATAACTAGACTTCCCTCAGATCTCCTGTTAGGTTGACATTTGAAAATGTCTTAATAGACTTTTAAAAAGTCTGATGTTCAAACTAGCCAAACATAAGTAGTAGGACTTTTGAGACTGTCGTTGTCTCTCTCAGACTGGGACAAAGATTGTTCTCAAAAAAGCAATTGAAGTTTGCTCGATCATTTGTTTCATTATATTTTGGAAACACTGACCCCAGTCGTTTTTATCTAGGTTCTACAAAAGCAGTCTTTATCTTTCATCTCATCACATTGTTTACTCTTAAAAGCACTGTAACTGTCCATAAGTCCAGGTGGTGGTCAGCTGGGATTGAAGTTACTAAAAATCATATGAAAATGATTGTATTCCAGGATGATTGTGTGAAATACCATATTCCTGCTCAGCAGAGCTCTGAAAACAATAATTGGCAGACTTCTTGGCATTAAATTTTACCCCATTATGGCCTCCCTGGTGGCGCTAGGGGTTAAGCACAACACTAGGAAGCTATCCGCAGCCTCTGCAGCACGAATTTGATCCCCAGCCGGCCCGGGAGCTACCCATGGCACAGCAGACCTCTTCTATCTCGCCTGCTGCTCCCCTTAGCAGTGCATTTCAGTTAGTCTGCCTGTTCTGCTCCCCACTCTGTCTCTGGTGAATCCTCTCACCTCCCACACCTCAGGCCTGTACCCAGTTCTTGTATGCATAAATAAATAAATCTTTAAAAAAATGAATTTTACCCCATTAAATCTCTTTTATAGTGAGGAAGATAAAGCTACCTTTGTCTTTTTAGGGGGTGGGTGGAACAGCAACAATGCTGACTCTTGAAAATTCTAAATTCTCCCTTAACTATTCTCTGCATCCTATTCAGCCATCAATTAGCTGCAATTTGATGCCTAGGTCACTTTCTTTTAATTGCCAGTTAACATCTTTTTGTTTTTTGGTGCCACCAGATTAGACAGTGACTTTATTAACATTACAATCAAATCAGACTTATCTGCAAGATAAGTGCTGCCCTAACTTGATTGTCTTTATGAACCACTTGAGGGTCTTATCAGAATATAGATACTGATTTAAGTAGGTTTGGAGTGGAACCTGAGTGTCTGCATTTCTTTTGAGTTCCCAGGTGATGCCTTAGACCATCAGAGGCAGTGGTCCTAGCCCTCACTGTGGATCAGAGTTATCAGGGGAGTTTAGATCAAAAATGATGCCAAACTCCACCCTCCAGAGTTCCTGATTCAGTTAGTTTGGGGTAGAACCAAGCACTGTGTTTTTAAAGAGCTCCCTAGGTGATTCTAATATGCAGGCATGGTTGAAAATCACTGCTTTTAAGAGGATTAGAATCTTGGTTTTGCCAGAGTGCCTTAGAAAGGATTTCTCATCATTATTTGAAACTCCGGATGTTCTGTAGTGCAGTCTGAGGCCCTTTGACTTTGCTTTGGCTCTGAACTTTCATTGAGTAAATTCAGACTTTTTGAAACTTGGCAGGTTCAGATGGCAGCATTTTAAATGTAGCTCTTTGAAGGTGGTCAGGAGCACTAGAATGTTCTGAAAGAGGACCTGCTCATTCACCTTGTTGATATCACTTCCAGGAGTAAAAAGAAAAAGTTAGTTATGTGTCCATTGTTCCTCCATTTAGATCAGCATCAGAAGTTAAATATTACATCAGTTGCATAGTTGCCAAGACAAGGGAGCATTGAATAAAAAGCCAAGTTAGTGGACCTCAATCTGCTGATAGTGAAAGGGCTCCCCTCTCCAATAGCCCTTATTATAAACCCTAATATGTGACTGGAAAGCCAGGATGAGATTTTAGAAAACTGGGCTATTGTTAACAATAATGAAACACACACATCGTCACCCTCATCTAAAGATCTACTTTTTCACACACTGTCTCATGAGATCCCGAAGTTTGGGGATCGTGAGAAAGTTTCTCACAAAGGAAAAGGTTGGGAGTGAGGCTTAGAATAGAACTTTTTGTAAAGTTATACCACTTTTTTATACCTTTCCATGGTGAGAATGATACAATCTCTTTATCTTTGACCCCTTGTTGCTTGATTAAAGAATGGTATGATAGAAATCCTAAAAGTAATATTTTACTCTTTCAAATTGGAGAGCTTTGGTTAAGTCAAATTTTGAGCTTTGGTTAAGTCATTTAGAAAATTCTTGTGGAAATTATATTGAATAACCAAGCCAAATGAAAGCTCACTGGCAAGAGAGCTAAATCTTGTGGTTATAAACTTGTGCTGTATATATCATCCTGGGAGGCATTCCAAAGGAATTATCATCCCTAGTATTCTCTTTGACATTTCTGTTTAGCAATATCATTTTGTGTGATATGCCACGCAAGAAGGAAGACCTGTGATTGATTCCTGTGGTTAAAAGTTTTTTAAATCCCTTTAAGGTATGGCCCTAATCCAGCATTTCCTTTTCTGCTGCTTCCATCTGTAGTCAGGTCATATATTTAAAACTTACTAGATAGACCATAATTTTTATGTTTTTGTGCTTCTGCATATGCTGTTCCCTTGATCTGAATGGCATCCTCATACTTTCCACAAGCAAATTTGTAGCATCCCTTAGATCCAATTTGGATGTCAGCCCCGTTGTGGAACATTTGCCAACTCTTGTCACTCACTCCAACCCCCCATTGCCAGCTGGTTTTTTTCTTCTTTGTGTCCCCGTGGGATTTTATAGCCCTACTCTAGTATAGAATAAGGGATTACAATGTTTAATGTGACAGACTCTAACAATTAAACTACAAGCTGTTCAAAGATAAAAATAGATAACCATATTTCACATAGTGGTAGGTATCATACATTTGCTATTAGTTGAGTTGCATGATGACTAAATTAAAGAGGAAGAGAGAAAATAAGAATAGAAAGAATGTGCCCTACTGCCTCTGGTGAAATTTTAATAAACTGGACTGCAGAACCTCTGCCTTTCCAAGGTTAGTTTTAGTAGAGGCTTCATGGAAAATGTTATTGCTAATTTGGAAAAGGGAAAGATAAAAAATTGGTGTTAGAAGTTTGCAGAGCTGATTGAGTAGTCAGGCAACTTATTGGATATATGTGGAAAAATTAGATGTGTGTGTGTACGCTCTGTCCTAGTGGTTGCTTTTCCTTGTGTAATCAGTAAGTGGATTCTGGGACGACTTGCAATGTTTTTCTAAAATATCCCTTTGCCACCTTTGACATAGAGTTGAGGTGTTCTGTTGGCCTTGGAAGGGAAAGTTAATGGTGCATGTTAATTACACTAAATCTCAAATAGTAGCTGCTCCTTCCATAATGTGATGATGCAAATTCCCAGGTGAGCATATTGGATTTGGTGAGTCACATTTCAGACCACTTATAGAATCAATCACTTGACACCTAGTCCCAATAGAGATTTTGCTGATTTTAGCTAATCTGCCATTGCACTTTTCTCTTCATTGGATCTATGAAACTCAGAATTGATTTTTATTTCTAGAATTGCATCCATTATTAGGGAATGGGTTTAAATACCATAGTATCAAAATAGAACAAAAAAAGGACTTAAATTGCAAATAACTTAGGCATGCTCGTTAAAAACCCCTTTCCTAAATTCTGTTTGCAGTAAAATTATGTGGCAATGCTGCTCCTAAGAGGCAGCTGATAAATTCACCCTCACCCTTTTTCCATGTTCTTCTACTCCCATCCCTACCTCACACAAATTTTGGAGACAAGACCTTGGCTGCTGTGATAGGAAAGGAGCCTCCTCTCTTTATTTCTGGTGTCAGGTTAGTGCAAAGGTCAGAAGTAGCCAGTACCCACTGACTGAAGACAACTGTCAGGCTTGGTGGTCAGGTGCTGTTGGCACTTGCCCTCATAATCCCTGAACAGAAGAATTGGAAATTGAGAGGAATCCCACAGAGGCAAAAGCCTCATTTTAATTTGCATTTGCAGATTGATAAACTTTTTTTGGGGGGGTGGGGGGGAGACACCTATAATGCACCTTTTTTTTTTTTTTTAAAGAGGCATGTATATTTATTTATTTATTTATTTTGTTTATTTGTTTGTTTATACATGCACTGGGTACAGTCAGAAGCGCGGGAGGGTGAGAGAATTCACCAGAGCCAGAGCGGGGAGCAGAGCAGGCAGAAGGACCGAAGTACACTGCTGAGGGGAGCAGCGGGCGGCAGGAGAGGTCTGCACGCCATGTGGGACCCTCCTCTGGTGGCCGGGGAGCAGCCGGGGATTGAACCGGCGCTGCAGAGGCTGCGGACAGCTTCGCAACCCAGCGCTCAACTGCTGCGCCACCAGGGAGGCCCTATAATGCACCTTTGTATTGTCCTGGCAGAGAATCTGATTATTGTTTCTGGGCTACTTTTCATGGGGACACTATTACAAGCCATGAAAGTTTATCCTAAAACCCTTTAATATTTGAAGTTATGCATTAGTGAAGAAAAATTTTGCTCTGGAAATTGAATTTTCTTCATTTCATCTGTACCGCCTCTCCTGCCATATTTCCTAAAATAAGGGGCTAACCCATTGGTGTATTTCCTGCTACCTGTTGTGCTCTGTTGGTTTTCTCCACCATGAATGTACTTCTTGTTGCTCATTTCAGAAAGATTTCCGAGTTCAGGAACTCCCACTGGCTCGTATTAAGAAGATTATGAAATTGGATGAAGATGTGAAGGTGAATTCACATTCATTTTTATTCACATTAAAGCTAAGGCAATGGATAGGTTATTGCTCATTTCTCTAGAGCTCAAAGTTTAATTAAACAAAAATGTAAATACATTTATTGCCTATTTTATTTGGGTCTTGTCTAATATTGTTATGTTGGCTGAAATGGAATAGTTTTAATTATTATATGGCACATCTTTGAAAATTAGAGATACCGTGTTGTCTAGATGCCGAGTTTTTGCTTTTGAATTACCTAATTCTTTTCAACATGTAAGATAAATGTGTATCATCAAATCAATAGGTGCCATCTTCTTAGTAACATATTACAACTTCTAGCTTGTTGATCTGAACTCTAAGAAATGTTTGATAATGATGCTCTACTTTTTGACTTGTGAGTTGTTTTACATGAATTATGCTTGTGAGTGGATTTACTTGGGGGTGACCGCTTCTGCAGTCCTAGGCATCCACCTGAGGTTATGACTCTCCTGAAAAAAACAACTGTTTTTCTTTACTATTCAAAATTAATTCTCTTGTATTTGTATAGAAAGCTAATCGTTCATAGCAATCTTCCTTTATTAGCTTATTTCCTCCTTATAGAACCTTTGCAAAATGTGATAGACTAAGAAGAATTGTTCCATTTTATAGAGTGGGAAATAGACATGAAGGTTAAGTGCCATCCCCGTCTTCCACTTCTGTTTCCTTAACTCCAGAGTTCTTCCCAAAGCTCTGTTCTGCATAGACTGCCTCACCAAGGACTCAGAGCCTTGTTTGACCAAGAACTTGAACTTGAAAGTAGACACAGCAAGGCAATTACATGACCACTTACTATGTTCCAGGCCCTGTGCTGGGTGCTTTTAGGTATATTATCTCATTCAACTCCCACAACACTGGAAAGTTAGCCTCTTTTTCAGTATGTGATAAATAAAGCCCCCACGCATAGGAAATCTGGGATTTTACTTAAATTCACTGACTTTCAAACTCATTCTCTTTCCCACATTGTCTCTGTGGGTTAGAACCTAAACTGCCTCTTACTGTCTTTGGGCACATCACTTCGCTGCTCCTAAAGCCTGTAAGGAAATGCATGGTAGGTGCTAGATAAATAAGTATTCTTTTCCCCTCATCCCTCCTTCTACCTGTTATCTACTTTGTCCCTACTTGTGGATTTATTTTACTTGGGAATCTCTTAAGGCTACCACCTTTCCAGCCCTTGCCCCATAGTCCTATGGCAGGACATGAGGCAAGAGCAGACTGACTGGATTGAATTACTTGCTGGTGACTGACAGGGAGGGCCTGCGTTTGTTGCAGATGATCAGTGCAGAAGCCCCTGTGCTCTTTGCCAAGGCAGCCCAGATTTTTATCACAGAGTTGACTCTTCGAGCCTGGATCCACACAGAGGACAACAAGCGACGGACTCTGCAGGTAATGTTGTAGCCTCACATGGGGAAACTGGGCAAGCAACTGCCTTTGACTGCTTCTCTTATATGACTTTGGACCAAAGGTTTTCCATTTCAAGATGATATGTGTAATTGTCTGTTGGGAAGCAGGCATATCCTATAGCCATGATAGTATTTCCCCAAGAACCTTAATTTCTAATTCTGTCATGGTTTTCACAGCTCAGTGACTGAAGTCCACTTAGTAAGCCCTCACTATAAACAGAGGCTAAATTGATACTTACCTATTTCCAGATGTAAAAAACTTTTGGTCAGAAGCCTTGAGAGACTCCAGGAAAGAACAGTTATAGGGAGAATTAGTCTCACTAGCATTATTAGCCAACTTATTCTTTTTTTTTTAAAGATTTATTTATTTATTTTATACAACAACTAGGGTACAGGTCAGATGCGTGGGAGGGTGAGAGGATTCACCAGAGACAGCGGGGAACAGAACAAGCAGACTGATGAAATACACTGCTGAGGGGAGCAGCGGGCAAGGCAGGAGAGGTTTGCCGCGCCATGTGGGACCCTCGCTGGCCGGCCGGGATTGAACCTGCGGTGCAGAGGCTGCGGACAGCTTCACAGCACAGGGCTCAACCACCTGCACCACCAGGGGAGGCCCATTAGCCAACCTATTCTGTCTGCTTTCCTGGGAATCTTTTCCTTCTTTGTTATTGTTTTCTTTGTATTTTGATTCAGCAGATCAGCATTCCTATTGTATGAAGATCCCTTGGTCATTGACCCTTTAGAGGGCCTCTTCTCAAAAGCCAGATCCTTGCTCTCTGGGAAAGATTGTCCAGATGTAAGAGGAAGGGTGTGTCAGATACAAGGCAGTGATGGCATCTGAAAGTCTCCTGATAATTAACAGTCAAAAAAGTGAATAATTTTCTCCTTGTTTCCTTTCACCCCTAAAATTGAAAATTTTGCATGTGTTTATTTACTTTTCTACAAATATTCATTGAATACTTAACAACTTGCCAAATTCTGTTCTAGATTTGGGGGAGTAATAATCAAAACAGACTTAAGTCCCCACCCTTGGGCAACCTACATTCTAGTTCAGCTACACATTGAGAAATTACTTTATGCTCCTTTAAATGTCCATGAGTCTAGAGAGATTCAGTTAAAACTTCCTTCAAGATCAGTTTAGATTAAAAAATAAAGTGGGCAAAATACTTGGACAGGCCCTTCAAATAAGAAGATACACAGATAACAAGTAAGCATATGAAAAGGTATCATTTGTCATCCAGAAGATACATTGAAAGCATACCCACTATAATATGGAATGGTTAAAATAAAAAACGGACAATACCAATGTCAGTGAGGAGGAGGAGTGACTGGAACTTGTGTTGCTGGTCAAAACGTAAAGTGGTACAATCACTTGAAAGACTGATTGGCACTTTCTAATACAGTTTCTGTGACGTAGGTATTCACCCCAGAGTGTTCATTGACAACCTTATTTATAATAGCCAAAAAACTAGAAACCCATCAAAATGATAATATGTAAGTAAATTAATATATTCATAAAATGGATTACTGCTCAACAGTAAAAACAAATGATTGATCCATACAGCATGGATGAATCTCAGAAATACTGTGTTAAGCAAAAGAAAGCAGAGGAAAAAATTTGTAGCACTTCATCAATAGATATCAGGAAATAGATACCAGGGTTATGGTTGCCTCAGATTGGGGAGCGGCTGATTGACTGGAAAGAGACAGAAGGAAACTTTATTTTCTTATCTGGGTGATAGCTACCTGGTTGCCTATGTTTATTAAAAATTTATCAAGCTGTGTTTTAGATTTCTGCATTTTACTGAATATGAGAAATTTAGTAAAATGTTAGCATTAAAAAGCACAAAATAAAAATGTTGAAAATAGCAATTTAAATATAGCTGTATTTCCAAAACACTGAATTCTTGAGTATATGTTTGGAGGTGATTATCTCTTTTCCTTTTTTCCCCCTCATTCCATCTATAGTTAGCCGTTTAGATAACTTGAGTAGGTGACATCATCAAGAATGTGATACTATATCGTACTAATCTTAAAAGAGTCCTGGCACCCTTAAGATGTGCCCTGCTTCGGTTGGAAGGGTTTATTATCAAGCTAGTGGTTGGCAAGAAGGGTAGACTAGAGTTTTGCATTTCAGTGGCTTGAGGCCATCTGACAAGTGAAGGAAAAAGCAGAAAATTTCCATCCCCTCATGTTTTGTCTGATGAGTCACCTCTTGAAAGGTGATGTGTAGAGGTTGCTAGGGATTTCTGTTAGTATGTTGACTTTCCCAACATTTCACTGAAAAATTTCAAACATAAGCAACACTTAGAGTGAACACCTACAGGCTCACAAGTTAGAGCCTACTGTTAACATTTTATTTGTTTTATTTCCATATCTGTCCCTCTGTCAAGTAAGCTATTTTTAAATGTATTCCTAAGTTTATTTTCTCCTAAATACTTCAGCATGCATTTTGTTCACTAGAATTCACTATTTCTCTTTTTTTCTTTTGCTTTAAAATTTTCTTACAGTGAAGTACACAAATTTTAAGTATACATAATATGTTGGTTTTTAATAAGAAATCTTTTTTAAAATTATTTAAAGCAGGGGAATGTCACTCTTAGAAAGAACCCAGCAGAAGGCAGGCCTTCGTTTCAGTATTATTAGTCAGCTGAATCCCGTGTTCTCTACTCACACCTGCCACTCTCTAGTCTGGTTACTTCACATTTACAATATTCACATCACATTAAAAAGATTAAAATCATAAATTTAATAGTATGATTTTGAATTCCAAAATAAAAATTGTAGCCTTGTGAGAACTAACATATATAGATCTAATGACTAGAAATTTTTGCCAAAAGTAAATGAATTAGGATTTCAGCCAGAGATTCAAAATAAATTATACTATTTTTGAGCCAAAATTCAAAATATTTACACCCTAAGAAGACTGTAAGATTATATGATAGCCTAACCCTGCTGACCACGGAATGACCTGAAACCTACCAGGTGCAGTTGCTGAATTTGGACACCTTTAGCAGGAGGATGATAATTTAACAATTGTGGGGCCCACCTTGGAGCAGGGGTAGTAGTTGTCAGAGGCTTGATCTCCAGTTTGTAGAGCATGAGCTGCGCATCTTTCTTATTTGTTGATGTCTGCCCATCATGTCTGATCATTTGAAGTTCTGACTGTGCCTTTTTCAGCTATAGACTTGGCCACGGATATTCAGTTTGGCTTAGAAGCCATACTCTTTTCTTACTTGTAACTTGGAAGGTATAAAGCCAGGTGAACTCATTTCTCCCCAGTCTAATTTTTCACTGTGCTTTTCTTTGTTCCAGAGGAATGATATCGCCATGGCAATTACAAAATTTGATCAGTTTGACTTTCTCATCGATATTGTTCCAAGAGATGAACTGAAACCTCCAAAGCGTCAGGTGAGCTGGGAAGACTTTGCTGCTGCTGACTGAAGAGCACCTTGCACACCGGTGTCAAATACGCTTCTTTTCCCCTCTCAGCACAGTCATATGCTATTCCTTTTGCTTCTTCTCTAGACCAGATCCATCTGTAACATCTCCTTCTGTTTCTCATTTATGGGTACTTTTAACTCACTGCCTCTGAGGTGGTATTTTAATGAAAATAGACAAAATGAAATTAAAAACTTGAGTTATGAACAGTAAAGTGAAGCTCATTTCAAGATATCTTAGGATGTCTATTAGAGTTCTTAATCTGGCATGGGGTGTATTCCCAGGGAGTTAGAGATTGTAGATCTTCAAGAAGTGGCTTCTCGGAGTGCACAGTGGTGTTTGGAGTGAGTGGGCTTCGGTCTTTCCTTACGCTAGTTTCTCTATATAGTGCGCTGGTTACGCATGGAATCACCTGTTAGGGTTAAAAAAAATACCATTGCCCAGGTTCCACCCCACACTAGCTGAATCAGTCTGTGAGGGAGAGGCCCCGGCATCAGTACTTTTTAAAGTTCCCCAGATGCATTCAGTGTGCATCTAAACTTGAGAACCACCGCTTAAACCGTTTTCTAAGCTATCATGAGAAAGAATGTGAATGTCTGCCTTTCCCTCTCTTCTGCCTTCCCCTCTCCACACCGATTGTTTTCAGCACTTTGGGTGCATACAACTCTGAACTGGAATTGTAGTGGACGCTTGTCCTGTATAGCTCATTGTTTTATGAGATTGCATGACTCACAAGAAATAGTAGAAACACTTGGGGAACAGTGACTGTGGCAAGAGCAAAACTGTACCTTGTTCTGCTTGCTTTATATTGCTAATACAATTGTGTTTTTAATGAATTATTTCATAGTATATTATCCTTATAATTATTCAGTGACAACCATTCTCCCATGCTATCTTAGATTAATAACCAGTAGAGTATAGAAGTGGGCATCCTAAAGGACACTTGTGATCCTGACCCTGCCTAGGGGCCTTTGGACTAGCAACTCCTCTGTCACCTCCTTACTAGAGCTTCACTACGTCTCCGTTCTTTCTGGGCAGTCTTTGCTACTGTAAACATCCTTGACTGGAAGCTGTAAGGTGTTCAGAGGAGCTTTCAGTCGGATGTTTACAGCGGCAGGCTGCCACGGTCGTCCCCGGCTGTGCATCACCTTTGAGACATTGCAGGGTGTGCCCACAGGCTCAATTCCTCCTCTTGGGGTACTTCCCTCTTCCCTGAGAAGTCACTACAAGAACTCAGACCACTTCTCTTCCTTCAAAACAAATGAAACCACACATCTACACTACTTGTTGGAGTTTGTTTCAGAAGCTAAGCTCCTTTTAAAAACCAACTGGTGAGCTTTGTGACAAAATCAGGCCTTGCTCAACACTTGTGCTAACTCCTGTTTGTTCTCTGTGGGCAACCTGCTAAACCAGCTGGCTGGGAGGATTGGTCATGTCCTTTCCTTTTCTCCAAAGTCCTCAGTGCTTCACTCTCTCAGGGTGTCAGCTCCTTGTTCCATCCTAGCCTGACTCAAAGTACTATGATCCATCTTTTAAAGCATGTCTAGCTGAACCGGCTCCTTGCTGCCTGGATTCAGTTCTTTGTGGGTGTTCAAGTCATTGATCGGCGTCCTATTCGGGACAGCTGCTGCCTGGCCTTTGAAAGGTTGAGATTGCTAAAAGCTGGCCTGAAATTCTAAGATAGCACTTTTAATCCTCTGTAGACATGAAGTTTTCCCAAGCTCCAAATTGCCTGGCACCTCCTTAAGTCCTTTAAAAGCGCCTACTCTCCAAAACTCACCCTTTCTGAAGGAGGCAGCAATTCACTCTTGCTACTGAAGCAGATGCACTTTTTTCTAATTTAGGGCTGGCTGCACAGCACTGTAGTGATAGCCCTAGGAGGTGATACTGCTCTTCTCTGGTGGTGGTTGTTAGTCTCCACTTCTGAGGCTACTACAGGGCAAGCCCCCTGGTTGGGGAGGCCACTACTAAAACTGGGCAAGTGCCCCTTTCTGGACTGGTGCAGTCAAGTGGAGATTGTTTTAGCATTTTGGGTGATGTTCCACTGCTGGGGAAAGGAAATACTGACTTGTGGATCTAAGGCCCTTGACTTCTCAAAGATGCTTGGGAATTTCTCTTGTTCTTCAGTGAAGCAAGTAAAGACTATTGCAAAGCAGAAGGTAGTTGAGGCCTGACTTCTACCCCCACTAAAGCTATGAGTTGAAAGTTCCTGCCCATTGAAATGTCATTTTCTCTTCACCCATTTCTTTAAATCAAGCATAATCATTCCCTTGCTAGCTTGACCTCCATTGGCAGAATAATGAGTCTTTGTAATATAGAAGAACCTTAGAGATGATTCCTTCCATTCCAGTGATTTGATAACAGTCATACCTTGTCTTAAAAACACAAACCTAGGTATCACTACTTGAAACTCAATGTCCTGGACACTGCCTGGTAGATACACAATTCAAGAAGGTATTCAAGAGGGTATAATAGACACAAGACATGAAGATACTCTCCCTGCACTCAGGTTTTGGCAGTGGGTGTTTTGGTTTCTGAGGGAGTATTTAAAAGGTTTGCTTTTTGTCTGGTAACAAGAGCATACTCAATTGCACATCAGCTGCAGTCAGGAATAACTGGAGACAGAATAATCACACGTCAAGGCTAGGAAATAGTAAGTGTCTTCCTGCTGTCTGACTTCCACAAGTTGGTTCTGGGGTCTTGGTCCTCTCTATCCTTTCATCACCCAAGAGCTTTTCCAAGTTAGGTTGGACTGTATTGATTGATTTTTCTTTTTTTAATAAATTGGGAAGGGACCTCTCAGTGGAAAATAAAATACATTGAACTTATTTTAAGAGCTTTGAAAAGAGCTGTCAGTCTCTGTTTTCTTGGCTAAGGAGAGTATCGGTATTTTATGTTTGCTATAGCCAAGAGCTAGTTGATAGGCTGACCTTTATAATGGGGAGAAGTTGGAGCTGAAATGGAGATGACATTGTCATTGTTAAATTGTTCTGGAAACTGAAACCTAGATGAAAATGAAAAGGAGACTACCTTTTCTTAGCATAAACATATTCAGGGTTAGAACTGTTTGGATCCGTAGCACAGAAAGCATTAACTTAGAAAGCTGGTTTATGTTTGAGAACTAGGTTAGAAACCCAGAATGTTACAAGAGTGCCCAGGCTGAGTGGTTGGCAGTCGGGGAACCCTGTCATGCAGAAATCTAAGTTTCTCAAAGACTATGTATTATCAGTTCATTTTAGTGTCCTGGCCCCCATTCACCAGGCAAGCAAAAGAATAGCCAGCCCTGTCCTACAGGGGAAATGAGCTTCTCCCTACACTGTGGCCTCAGAATCTTAGAGGTAGCAAAAGAGAATTTAGGAACTCTTTTTCTATTCAAGAAACTTGTCATTGCTGCCAACTTAAGTTATAAAAAAGAAGTACTTGCTTACCTCCACTTGTCTGTCTGGCTCTATAAACCCATTCATCATTCAGTAAGTACTTACTGAGTGCCTTCAAAGGAGTGGATAGTATGGATATTGGGGAGCAAAAAAGAGCTAGACTTGCCCTCATAGGGCTTCCATTCTAGCAGGGAAGGCAAAGAGTTTAATAAGCAAGTACAAAACAGTGTAAGGAAAGAACTATGGAAGCACAGATCAGGGCAGCTCATCTAGTGAGGGGATAGAATCAATACCAACTCTGTAAATGTCACTTTGGGGAGCTGGAGGCAGTCCACAGGGTGTAAGAAGTGTCTTTTCCTCTTTCCTTGAACCTGGCAAACTTAGCCCAGAACCAGGGAGTAAACTTAGCTGATATTTTTGTTCATTCAGCCCAAGTGGTTGTATGTTTTTGTTGTTCTTGTTGTCCCAGACAGGGGCACCGTGTGTCACTGGGCCCTCCGGAGCAGACGCCGACCTCTGTGTCAGAGGTCAGGGACTGACCAGCTCTGGACCCTCAGGCTGTAACCATGCTGTAGTGTGTGTAAACATCCTACACTCTCAGCTGTGAGCTCAAGGTGGCTGGGAGAGGGTTGTTTACTCCTTCTGCCATGGAAAACATCAGCTGAAGAAGAAACAGTCTCTTCACCCTGCAGATCGGACAGAATGTCACCTCCTTAGTCAGCCAAGGCAGCACCCCAGCGGAGAGCTGTCCTTAGGCCCCCTGGGTTGCGCTTCTGTGGCTAAGTACAACCAGAACCAGAGGTGACGCTGGATAGAAGTGGTTCTCAGTGACCTTAGAACCCTTAATGTGCTGCCAAAAGCTGGGCACTTGCCCACCAGTGCTGTAGATCCTGACACTGGAATCTAAAATTCCAACCCTGGAAAAGCCCTGTTTGCCTTTTCTCTGCTTAGTCCTCTCTGAGGTGGTGGGAACAAAAGAAGGCAAGTGCTGTCTGTTTGGGAGATTCGGAGCCGGCCTGTAAGCATGAAGTTTGGGTAGCATCTTCCCAGTGCTTGCAATTAGCACTGTTCTCAGATCCCAAGCCTTGACAGCATTTACTGACAAGCACTGCTGGTGCGTGGTTTTTAGTTACGGTAATTATTTGCCCATTTGCAACTCATCACGCAATGGGTGATTACTCTGTACTTCAGAAAATTGGCTGTATATTTTGTGAAGCCTATGGAATCTGTTATTTTTAGTTTGATTTAGCACAACTGGTCTCTTCGAATTCCACTTTCCCTTGGCTTCAAATGTGGAGAGCTCAGCATTCAGCAGGCAACTGCACAGAGCCAGTTTGGGGGAAGAATGGAAATTCACTGTGGCGGCTGCTGAGTCGATTCTTTTCCTCTTACCTGCCTCTCCTTCTACCCCACAGGAGGAGGTGCGCCAGTCTGTGACTCCTGCCGAGCCTGTCCAGTACTACTTCACGCTGGCTCAGCAGCCCACCGCCGTCCAAGTCCAGGGGCAGCAACAAGGTCAACAGACCACCAGCTCCACAACCACTATCCAGCCAGGCCAGATCATCATCGCACAGCCACAACAAGGCCAGGTTTGTGAGCTGTGGAGGGTGCTGTACCTGTGCCTGCCCAGCAAGACAGTACCTAAGTTTAGATGGGAAAAGCAGGACTAGGGCAGGGAGGCAAGTTAGAGTACTGGATTTGAAGTCTCGAAACTGAGCCTTTCCCCACTGAGGTGACATGTCACCCTCACCTCACCTACTTTCCTTGTGGGTCAAATGAGGAAAGCGCTGCAGTGGACAAGATCCCTATGAGTTTAAAAATTTTAGAAGGAAAAATATCTCAGTAATGGTCCCATGAATAGTGGTGGCATCTCTGTTGAAGGCATTTTAAGTGGACTCCATGCCTGTCATGTTTGTATACTTAAACCAGAATTGGAATCATTGTCATCCCGCACACCTCCTCCCCTTCTTCCCGTCATTTCTGTCTTCCTCCGTGTTTGTGTCAAGAGACTTTTTTATAATAGTAATCAGAAGATTCTTTTACTCCCCATGAGAGCAGTAACATTCATATTTGTCAGGTATCATGAGAGACTTCAGAGAACTCCATTCTCTGAGTTCTGAATCCAGATTCCCAGTTTCAGTTCTAATCATTAATTTATTCATCATACTTTGTGCATCTCTACGGATGAAGCCCTATGCTGTGTGTTGGGACATAGCATGAATAAAACAGTCCCTATTGTTAAGTATTCACAATTAGGACTACAAGTACTTAAAGATTATACCTCTATGTGAAAAGTGTAAGTTATTCTTTGGATTGTGTAGAGGGACTTATGAGAATACCTCAAAAGGAGTACCTAACAAAGACGTGAGGGAGGTGGTAGGAGAGAGTGTCAGAGAATGTTCCCTGAAGGGAATGATATGAGTCTTAGAAGGGATGGTGGAAATTCATCAAATAAAGAGGAGAAGGAGGGCTTTCCCAGTAGAGCACACAACATAAGCAAAGGCTTAGAGCTGAGAAACAGCACAGGGAGTGGTGGGAAGGTGTAGTTAACATAGGGGAACACAGTCTAAAAAGATAGAGGACACGTCCTAGGCAACCTTGTATATTCTAGTAAAGAGAGATTTGCTCAGAAGAAAAAAAATTTGGATGGAGGTAGATTTAACTATTAGGATTTTAGGGTTAATTTCCTGTTCATTCTTTTTATCCATGTAACAAATTTATTGAGTGCTAGCACTTGGCCATACTCTGTGCTAGGCAGGAAGGGTTCAAAGATGATCACAGCTAGTCCCTGCCTCAAGTTATTCACTGCGCTGTGATGCCTCCAGGACCTTCTCTGGCTAATGCTTGTGCCTCAGCAGTGCTGAGAGCTTCACCTGCCAAAGGTTTTATCCCTTTACAGAGTGAAATAAGAGTCTGCCAAGGAATGGTTCTGAGTGGTTGTTGGTCCTAAGAAGCTCATGGCTGTTGAGTCCTAAGAGTAGGGCACAGCATAAATGATTTGACAGCTGCCATGCTAACACAAGCCCTCATTTTCCTGAAATGATTTGGAAATACCTTGGAAATCCTCTTGGGAAAATTGAGTTGATACAGTACAGTGATGAGTTGGCAGTATGCATTTTTTTTTTTTAGTCAGCAAGAATTTCATCTATCCTCTTCTCTGCCATCCCAGACTGCTCAGCTTGGAACTGATAAGGCTTGTGTAAGGATGGTGAAGTTGGTCTCTTCCAGCATCTCCCAGTAGTTATTTCACTGTCCTGCTGGTTCAGGTGTCCTTGTGCTGTGTCACACTTCTCTGGAGCAGTCAGTAGTAATGGCTATTTTAAATTGAGTGCAGGACAGACTACATATTAATGATGGAATGTCCTTTGCAGGACAGACTACATATTAATGTTGGAAGGACAGCATTTCTTGGTAAAGTGAACCTTGTGTTCTCTTTCATAGAGTTGGAGACTTAATTCCTAGACATTTTCCCAAATAGACCAAGTTAAAGATTGTGGTGTGAGAACAGGAGATATTGTCCTAGTCCACTGCTTGTATTTTTACAGAGATCCTTGTTCTCGTTCTCCCCTATGTTCCTCCAGTTTGTAGTAATTTCTCCTTACCTAGTAATTCCTTGAATCTCATCTGTAGTTCCCAGAACATATCGCCTCCCCTTGTACCTTTAGAAGCACAGTAGCCCTGTGCCATCCGAATGTAAGCTTATCAGACTAGCAGCATCAACTGAAGCCCATGGCTCATTCAGATGCCCAGAGTTCTTATTGAGGTGATTCTTAATTCAGATGGGGAAAGATCATATCCAAATTGGGGGTTGGGTGGGATGCCACCCTCCTTGCACTACCACCACCAGAGGAGCAAGATAGGCTGGACTCACTGCTTTAGGTTATCTTTTACATCTAGGGCTGAAATTTTGTGAATCCAAGAAATTACTGACGGACCCTTTGACAGTTCAAATCTTTACTGTCTTTCAAAGGAGCTGGTTTCATGAGACTGTAATCCACTAAGTATGTAAGAAATACAGAATCTTCCAGGCCATTTGCATTCGATAGAAATTTCTTGAATCTGAGATTCCTGTTTCTAGAATGTAAAAATTTTTGCTTTCTTAAATTCTGTAACTTAGGGGTAGTCTCAGTTAAGATCCATGTCTTTGTGTCCAGTATCTTCTAAGTGTTTTCCTCTCCCATGGGAAGCTGTGTTATGATCTCAAGCAGCCAGCTGGCTGGTGTGGGCTGGAGTGGCTGTGCTGCTTGAATGGGGATGAAGCCATGTGCACTTTTTTCTCCTTCTAATGCCTTGCATGCCTAAGAAGATGCCCAGCATCCTGAACTTAGTAAATTCATACTGACCCCACTTTCTACTTAGTTTGCCCTCAAATTCACCTGCTCCAGACTTGACTTTGGCCATTTCTCAAGTGAACGGTCATAGTTGCTTTTAATTCTTTTGTACTGTATGAAAATCATTAAAGGGGCTGTGAAAAGTTTTATTTGAAATAGACGTTTGGGGCCTAAGCAAATTTTTTGTACTTTGAGCCTAAAAATTCAGTTGACTTTTCCTCCTTTTTATTTTGGAGATTAAGATGAGCAGTCCCCACAGGACTCTAGGTTGAAGATTGCTCTTGGTGTTGAGATGAGTTAAGATATTCCTGGAGGGGGTTGCACCTAGTTAAGTGCTCATTAACCCCTTGGGAAGTCTATAGGCTCTGAGCCAGAGCTCAGTCAGCTTCTCATGACTCATGACTTTTCCTTACAGACCACACCTGTGACCATGCAGGTTGGAGAAGGTCAGCAGGTGCAGATTGTCCAGGCCCAGCCACAGGGTCAAGCCCAGCAGGCCCAGAGTGGGACTGGACAGACCATGCAGGTGATGCAGCAGATCATCACGAACACGGGAGAGATCCAGCAGATCCCGGTAAGCCCTGCCCTGCTTCGACATCCTTGTGGCACTGTACTCAGTGCTGAAACAGGAGATACTTAGAGATTTCTCTCTTTCTCACACGCGTTCTCTTCGGTCTATATTCCTGTTATCCCAGACCACTATCTGCCTCACTGTTTACTCACTGCTTTTCTTTAATCCAGGTTCAGGGGTTCAGGTTCATCATTTGGGGTAACTCTTCTTGATTTCCCCTCATTCCACCTATGCAAGAGAAATTGTAACCACTATTTCATGGCAAGGCCTAATGGCCCTGTGAGGCAATCCTGTCTTTTGATTAGCAGAGAATAAGAGGGAGGTGTGTAGGGAAGGCCATAAATACACTTGTTGCATATTCATGAGTCAGTTCCCAGTGGAGCCTGGAGCAAAGTGTATTTTTGGCTTTCATTTAACTTCTCCATTCCTTCACTGTGGACTGCTGCTTCCTGTGTGCCTAGAGGGATTTCATTTCTTAGAGTTGTTGGGTTTTTTACATGTACTTGTTCTTCTGAAGAAAAAAAGAACATCCGTTGTCTTTTAACACTTGCTGTCTATACATTGGTCATTTTGTCACCGAAAAATGTGGAAAGTGAGTGACTTGGTGCAGTAATCCTTCTGTTTCTTGCCTCTTGCCCTTCCTATTGTAAATGCAGTGTAGGCAGATATAGAAACTCACTTGGACTTGGTTAACCACGTCCTCTTTGAAAAAAATTAGAAAAGTATTCTCAACTCTGTTTTTGGAACTGTTCTCATTTAGTTAAAAAGTAACAGGCCAGTGGATTGTACATTGCTCTCTTTGTCCAGAGAATCTCTATCGAATCTTCCCTTGCCCCAATCAATTCCAGGTTCCTTGCCTTATTGTTCCGGCCATCAACCTCTCTCTTGCGTGGTTTTCATTTTGCATGTGAAGGCACCAAAACATGTTCATTTAAGCCAGAGAAGGGGTTCCTACTTTGTAATAACTTTAACTTAGTGTTTTTAAATCCTTTTGGACACAGAAATTTAGCACAGATTTATTGCAAAATTCAGAACCTTGTCTTCACTGTGCTTAGGTATCTTCTGCAGGAGTCCACATTTCTACAAGAGAATAGTGATGACCTTCAGAAGGAAACTTTGCTTCTCTTTAGAAAGTCCAAGGGTAGACTTACTTGTTCTGTAATTTATGTAAAAAAGGCTATGAGGATTCCCAGACCTATCCTTGTGGAAGACTAGGGGCGGAACATCACCAGATGTTTAAACCTAAGCCTGAAAGAAGAGCTTCTTGCCTCAACAACTTTTCAGTCACATTTGAGTTTATGCAAAGAGCTCCCCGCAACTGAGAAATGTGAAAACCATCCCTGTGTCCGGCAGGACATCTTTCCCCACTCCCACAACAAGGCGATCGTCTTCTGTCCCGTTATTTGGCTGGAGTCCTCATGACTCCTGGGACCAGCCTCCATCAGTATCAAAAGATGAGGTTTCCTCAGTCTCTACCTAGCTGTCTTCATCCCCACACGCAGCTTAACATTATTCCTGGAAGCCACATTATGGGATTCAGTGGGGAGTTTTGGCTTGGTGTTATGGCTTCTCAGCAGTTCCTCTTGACATATTCTTAGGGGAAAAATGACTGCAGATCACAGTTTTGTTTTTTTGTTGTTTTTTTTTTTTTAAAGATTTTATTTATTTATTTATACAAGATGCGCGGGAGGGTGAGAGGATTCACCAGAGACAAAGCGGGGAACAGAACAGGCAGACTGACAAAATACACTGCTGAGGGGAGCAGCGGGTGCGACAGGAGAGGTCTGCAGCGCCATGTGGGACCCTCGCCGCCCGGCCGGGATCAAACCAGCGCTGCAGAGGCTGCGGACAGCTTCATAGCGTGGCGCTCAACCACCTGCACCGCCAGGGGAGACCCTGATCACAGTATTTTGCCTTCACAGTATTATGTCTTCTTTGAAGCATATATTAACAGATTTGGATTTTTGTCCATCTTACCTTTAGTAGACAATTCTGGAATTGTCTGCCAAGAATTTAGTCCTTTTTTGGTGGTTAAATTGTCTTTGAGGCTGGACGTTTAAGCGAAGCAGTTTGATTTAACACTGTATGCAGGAGTGCAGCTTCATCCTGTCAGCATTTTCCTCATGGAAATAAAGTTCCCTGCAGTGAACCTGGCTCTTTAAGGCAAGGAGAAGATTCACTTCAGGACAAGGCATCATGACTTTCCTGTAGGCCTTAAGAAGCTCACCCTTGCAATGAATAGACCATTCTACTCCTCCTCTTAGAATCGCTTTCATCCCCCAAATTCCAAGTGTGAATGTCTGCAGTCCTCCTCTGCTTGCTGTTCTCTCTGCTGAGCCCTAGTTTCTTTCACATTGTAACTGCCTTGGTCCACTCATTATCCTCATGCTCACAGCACTAATACTTTCATGGTATACTGGACTGTTAAGAGCCTGAGTTAAGGCTTTTAGCACACAATTAAAAGAAGCATGTGGTATTATTGTATTATCTGAAACTCAGTCTTAAGCATGAGGGACTCTAAGGGTATTTTTGTAGCTTTGGTTTCCCCCGATGGGGTTTTCTGTAAAAGGTTTATTGATTCAGCTTCCCCTTGGGAGGTGTTTGCCCAAAAGCTAGTGCTGAACACCAAGGATCCTAAGAATTTCTCAGACCCCCATTGGTGCTGACTCTTGGGGATAAAGAGAGATTAACAGGCCATTCTTACTTTGAAGGTATGCAGCATGGGCGTGGACAGTGCTTGGGCTCGGGCATGGAGTGACTGCTGGATGCTTTGGGCTCCTGATGGATGCTGGACCTCTGCTCAATATTAGCTCAGCCGTTCTGGGAACTGGCGTGTGGAGATGGGCTTGGGGGTTACTTAAGTCCAAGCATTCCAAGCATATCAGGCAGTCTTGGGATAAAATCCCAAGGTAAATAGCAGACAGCTAAGAGTCAGTGAATATTGAGGTTGCATCCATGCTCTATTCACACATATCACAAGATCCTCTGGAAATTTTTTCCCAAGTCCATTCAGAGAACAACATTCTTTTGTGTCGTGGGGATGTTACGATTTTGTTTTGAATTCTGTTAAAAAAAAAGAACTTTTCTGGGTAGACTTCTTTGGAAGGCTGGGGGCTGGTGTTATGGGTCGGGGATGATCACCATCTCTGGTCATGAAGTTTGCCTGTTTGAGGCTGTACTCAGTCTCCTGTGGTCTGTTGGTCTCTGCCCTTGCCCTAGGTGCAGCTGAATGCTGGCCAACTGCAGTATATTCGCCTAGCCCAGCCTGTATCAGGCACCCAAGTTGTGCAGGGACAGATCCAGACGCTTGCCACCAATGCTCAACAGGTATGTATACCAGAGATGCAGGGTTTGAGTTGGGGACCAGCAGGAGCTGGCTTCAGGCTGAGAGGAGCGCTCAACACACAGCTCTGACCACCTGTCCTTCAGCAAGAGCCATCTCCACACCCGCACAGCTCTTCTACATCCCAAGGGACCAATGGGAGTAACTGGAGGATTGGATTCAATGTTTCTTAGCCATCATATTCTCAGGGGAAAAAGGAACACAAGGCAGAAGTCTGAAGAATACTTGAAGATGGCCTGATGTGTGGTGCGCATATCTAAACTGGAGGAAGCATTTTTGACAGACAGCCTCATTGTTAGGCTCATTGTTTCCATCTTTAAACCTAAATAGCTGTCGTGTCCTGGCGCCTCCTGTGACCTTTGGAAAGCTTGCTTAGATCCTTCCTCACCCCCATCCCTAGCCAGAAATTTCTTCCTTCCTCCGAATCTTCTCTCGTGTTCTGAGATATTGAAGGCTATGAGCTGCATGTGCTGAGGGGGCTTCCTCCTGGGCTCAGGGACTGGGGTCCTGGCATCATTTTGCAGGGGTGGGGGTGCTGATCAAGGGGAGGCATTATTAATGGATTCTTTTGCCTCAGACCCAAAAAAAGCAGCAATCGTTTAAGAGCTGGGCCCATCTGGCCCAGTTGCATTTCTAGTGATGTATCTATTGACAGTGGTGACAGAGCTGAGTTTGTAGAGCAGGTCTCCAAAGATCTCATTTGGGAAAATAGGAGGAATGAGCCAAAAAGCATGGCTTGTGTTCTATATAGTCTCTGGGCTCCTTAAAGAAGCCATTCCAAACTCATTCCTTGTCTTGCATAAGGATTGGGCTTTTCCCTAACTTCCTTGGGATTCAATGATATAGATTTGGATCTGAAGACTGGCCATACCCTTGGGAGTCACTGGTCACTTCCCCTTGGGCGCCCCTCTATTTAAAGAAGAAAGAAACCTTGTAGAGTCTAATCTGGCATCCAAAAACTTTTTATGGCCTGGGGGTGAGAGGAAATGCATTCTTGGTTCTCCAGAGCCAAGTTTGACACTAGAACTAAAGCCAGGAAGTGAGAGAGTTGAGTATACAGAGAGTTGAGTATACAGAGAGGAAAAGGAGACGCAAACGGGCATCTGAGGGCTAATTATGATTGTCAGAATACAGTAAAAATATGTGTGTCAAAATATAAGAGATTGTAATTGTGAAAATCTAGCATTTAGTAGGTGCTCAGTAAATGTTTGTTGACCGAATCCTGGGTAAACAATATATAAAAGGACTTTAAAGGCAAATGAAGCTTTCTTCTCAGCTAATGTGGATGGCAATCTTGCTGGCCGCAGGGGCCAGTTAACCTTATTTATAAGAAATATTTTCCATCTGTCTTTGTCACTCATTTATTTTGCAAACATTTCTTGAGTACTTACTTTGTACTGGGAGGGGTAAAGACAAAACTTAACTCCTGCCTTCAAGCAGCTTAAAGACTGCTGAGAGGAGAAACAGGGAATGAGAATAAGAAACCCTCCTGAAGCCCTTTCATACCTGTTGGTTCTTCAGAGCCTCATGGGTAGGCCTGACGGGCTGTTTTGGGCTGTTATGACAACATTCAAGAGGATAGTCCTTACCTAGCTGTGATAATTCCCCAGCACTTGGGGCGCTAAAAGTCAGGTCATGCATAAGACTCCAGAACACAAAATATACAACCCCTATAATTCTCTTTTAATGTCCACCTACCCTCACTCCCCACCCTCTGTAAGGTCTTTCTGTGGCTTCAGGTTCAAGACAAACAAAACCCCTAGTTCCAAGGTGCTGGCAAGACAGGGCACACAGAGGATATTGCTAGTCAGATGTTCCATAAGCACCCGTGTGTGCACAAGCACGCATCAGTCTTCCTTCTAGTCTTCCAGGCGTGTCCATCAGGTGGCATTACATGATGTGGTTCTACATATCAGTAAAATCTTCTAAAATCTTGCAGAAGATTTGAAGTCTGTGATAAATGTTTTCTTTGCTCATCTCCCTTGTCCCTCCCCCCTTCCTCCTTGGCCCAGATGGCTGCATGTGGCCGCTCTTGGAAAAAGTACTTCATAGGTTTGCCATGTGGGCTGCCAGGGCCCAGGCCTCCTGCTTGCCAGGGTGTTTCATGTTCCACTCAGATAATCTGGGTGATACGGGTTGGCTTGGAGCCCACCTTCCAAGAATGAGAGAGACCACTCACCACTTTGCTAACACTTTGCAGTCTTCCTTCAGTGGCTGAAAGACAGACGCTTAGGGTTGCTGCTTAAACTTCATAAAAGTTACGCCCTATCTTGCCAGCACCTTGGAACTAGGGGTTTTGTTTGTCTTGAACCCGAAGCCACAAAAAGACCTTACAGAGGGTGGGGAGTGAGGGTAGGTGGACATTAAAAGAGAATTATAGGGGTTGTATATTTTGTGTTCTGGAGTCTTATGCATGAGCTGACTCTGAGGCGCCCCAAGTGCTGGGGAGTGGGAGGGACCCTTGCCTTCCTCTGACTTACTAAGTATCTGTGCTGTGCCAGACCTCATTTTGGCACTCTATGTGTATTGTCGCATTTGATCTTCACCACCCTCTCCTGGGTGGTGGACTCGTGACCAGACCTTGCAGCTGACATGCCTGCTCTGCCTCTTGATTCCCACAGATCACACAGACCGAGGTCCAGCAAGGACAGCAGCAGTTCAGCCAATTCACAGATGGACAGGTAGGCCCAGCCTGGACAGGGGCACAGGGTGAGGAGTTATGAAAGTTTGCAGGTGATATCTGTGGGTTGGGATGGTTAGGGCTCCTAGCCTATCTTCCTTAACAATAAGTGGACAGAAATTGTTAAAAACAAGTAGAGCCTTTAAATCAGGATTCCTGTCCTTTAGATTTATAGCCTGGTGGGGGCTGAAGATAATCTTAGCTCAAGTCTGTTTTTCAGAGGAGTAAACTGTGCTCTAGAGATGGGCAGTAGCTTGACCCTACTCACTCAGCTGCTCACTGCAGAACTGGGACTAGAATGCGGCCTCCTGGTTCCCTCTCTACCGCTGGTTTTTCTCTAAGCCATGCTGCTAATAGTATGGATTAGGTGAAAGGCAGAGAACCTGTGCCCTCTTATGCTTGTTCAGTGCTTGGAATTCAGTAATTCTAAGCCCATGAAAGGAAGGACTCTTCCTTTTCCCACCCCCTTTCCCCACACACTGCAGTCTCAGAGTTCCCTGAGGACATAATTGGATGACATGGGTAAGTTTGTGTTCTCTTTTGCCCAGAGAAAGAGGAGTTGGCCTCATCCACCTCTGACTTCTACCAGCTCTAGGTGCTAGGTTCACATGCCAGGGCTCCTGTGGCAGATGGTATTGGCTTTTGGTTTCTTTTGGAGACACCTGAGAAGCCAAGTGTTCAGTTGGCCCTAGCCTTCCATAGTGGCTAAGTGAGCATCATCGCCACCCCTCATGGGTCTTGGCTTATAGTAAGTGTTTAATTGCAGGCTTCTTCCTTAGCAAGCCCCATGTAGGAAATGCAGGTTTACTGTAGCCTCAGTCTGAGCCAGGTACCCAGAAGAAAGGGGGTAATCATATTGCCCCTACCGGTGAGGAATGCCGAGATAGGGAAATGCTGACTTCCAAGCTGCTGGTACAGTGGTTCGAATTGCTTGTGTTTGTCACAGAGGAACAGCGTGCAGCAAGCTCAATGCTCTGAGCTAACGGGAGAGGCAGAGTCCAGAGAAGTGAAAGCCACAGGAAATGCAACTCCCTGCACCTCTTCCCCGCCCACCACACACACACCCCCACACCAGGCTCGTGGTGCCTCCTGTGTCTGCTGTGCCCAAACCCAGCAGAGCTCCACATCCCCTCCTCCCTCTGATGCCTTGCAGTGGGTGGTGGTTGAGGTATCTGGGGCCCCCAGCCAGCTCGAGGCCCATAGGGAGCTGCATGCCCCTCTCCCCGGGGTGACCTCACTTTCTCCTCTCCACCCCTCACAGCAGCTCTACCAGATCCAGCAAGTCACCATGCCTGCCGGCCAGGACCTCGCCCAGCCCATGTTCATCCAGTCAGCCAACCAGCCCTCCGATGGGCAGGCCTCCCAGGTGACCGCCGACTGAGGGCCTGAGCTGGCAAGGTCAAGGACACCCAACACAATTTTTGCCATATAGCCCCGGGCAGTGGGCACAGCCTCCCTCCCCAGAGGACCGGGTCGACCTCAGCGCCTCCTGCAGGCTAGGACACTGGTGCACTACGCCCCACACCTGGGGGCCGAGATTCTCCAGCAGAAAGATGCAATATTTTTTATTTCCTTTTTTCCACTTTTTCTCCAAGAAATCAATATTTCAGTATGTGAGCTATGTGTCCAATTCTATGAAATGAAAATATTAAATAACATATTTATGGCATTTTCTTGAAGAGTGTTGTTGAAGAAATACGTGTTTTGTTTTTCTTTTTTAGTTCTTACAGCCATTTCTTTTTAAGAGCAAATCTGTTCAGGGGTGTATGTTATCTCCTGATTCTTGGAACAGGCTACTGCCCTGAGGATTTGCCACCTTGTTCTGCCCTCAGATTAAATTAGGTGACTATGTGTAGCCTGTTTCTCGCTAGTGGTCCTCCTCCTGTGCCCTCCTGTTCTTGCCCCGGAGCTTTGTATGTTTGCATCCAGGATCCAGAGGTCATGGAAACATTCCCGATTTAGGAGATGAACTCATTTGCCACAGAGAGTGGGCGGTTTCATTCCCAAACCCTTCTCTCCTAGGGACCTGAGGAGACTAGAACTTTGTGCATTTGCTTCCCTCCCCCCATTTTTTATTTCATTTTTAAAATGCATTAAAAATTGTGCTAGTCTCCTTTGCTGCATGGACTTCAAACTGCATGAAATGCAATAAATCTCATTTTAGATAACTTAGAGTCTGGGTTTCTGTGTTTGGGAGAATCCATGGGGCCACTTTGCTTTGGAAAGGTTTATTTTCCCTCAGCTTGGGTGTCTGTGAAAGAGGGAGACCCTTGTGAGGAGGGGATGTCAGAAGCCAAGGGAACTTACACTGGTTATCTGATTCAAGCTGAGGTCTTCAACTGATTTAAGAAATGAACTTCATCAGAATCTACTTGCTGCTCAAGCTGCCTGCCTGTCTTCCTCCTGGCCTCCGCTGCATGTTTGCCAGACTCAGATATGTCCTACTTGGTCAAGAGTCAAGAGGGCATCTGTCATGGAGAAAGCTGTCACTAGCCTTCAAACAAGGACCGGGCAAATTCCTCCACTGCTAACTGCTGTGGCATGGAGAGGCACTCTGAGCTGCCTGCTCATAGCATGGCATATGCTATTAAGGGCAGCTCGAGCTCCTTGTCAGACGATGATACAGAAGGTTCTCCAGGGAGTGCCTGCTTCCTACTAATTAAAGCCAGGAGAATAGAAAGAATATTTCTCCTCTTCATTGGCCATAGGGGCCAGTGGTGAGCTCTGTGTTTTACCTCGACTGTGCCATCCTTTCAACTAGAATGAGACCCGTTGTCACGGGAAGTGCAGAGAACTAGATGCCAGGGGATATAGGTATTAACTTCTTCTCTGCCAGTAATAGGTCATCAAACCTTGGACAACTCCTTTGTCTCTGGGATTGTCTCAAGGGGCTGGACAAGAGGCTTTACTATTACATGATGTCAAGTCTCACCCTGATGCCTTTCGAATTTCCTCACTGTATATCCACCGCTGTCAACCATGGTAAGTATTTAGACATCTCTGCCATCTATTTCATTTTCAGTCAGTTCCCTGAATGGAGCTTACCTTATGCCACCAAGAAAATAGACGACTTTCATGAAAACCATGTATGATGAAATAAGATGACAAATTAGAATGAAGAAGAATATCATTGAGTAGGAAATCAGCGTTATAGAAAGCAGGAACACAAATATCTGGGCCATAAAGATCTACATAGTTGTTGAAGTTGGGTTTCACATTTGATCCCCGGCTTCTTGGCCATTAAAGCAAAAAGATGGGGCCAGGCAAGAGTGATACTGTAGACTGAAAAAAAGAATCTTTTGCAAAAGTCAAAGTTTTACTGGTTTGAAGGTTCTGTCCCTCTGATGTCTTCAGGGCAGGTGCAGAGGGATGCTGTGACCTCACGTCAGTAGCTCTGCCCCTGCAGCTGGGTCAGCGGCAGCCCCACAGACTTCTGAATCCCAAACTCAGCGTTCCATCTCCTGTATCCAGTTAATCTTCATTCTAGCTCCAGACTTTTCTGTGAAGGGGATCATCTGGCCTTTCCCACTGTCCTGTACCCAAACACGTCTCCATGAGACATGTGAGCACAGATACTGGGCCTTCCCCCTGTGGAAAGTGTGTGGAGCACTTGTGTGCATGCACTGAAGGGGTCCTGGCTTGGGAGAAGAGGCAGAATTTCACTTCCTGGCTAACTTTCCATGTAGAGGCCACTTGAAAACTCCAGTGTAACAGGAATTTCAGGACAGTTGGTGGATCCCCATTTTCCCAAAGGCTTTCATTCTTCTGGACATGTTTCGATTGGTTGTGATTGACAAGCAACTTCCTTGCTGAGCACGTTCCCTTTAAATTCCTTGGCCAGCAGGGCCTGTCTGGGTGTAAACAAACACTTTGGTGCAGCCCAAGAGAGTCCCTATCTAATACCCAGCCGATCCCCTTACATCCGGAGCACTCTTTACACATTTTTTCCTAACATTTGCAGCATCCGTCCTCCCAATGATCTTCACAGTGACCCTGCAGGGGAGACAGGAAGAGGGATTGTGATCTCTGTGTTACAGATGGAGACAGGGAGGCTCAGAAGTATAGTGACTTGCCCAAGGTCACTCTGAATTAAGGGTGGAGCTGAAACCAAAACCCTGCTCTGCTGACCCCTGTACATACACTATTGCCTTCTGGCCAAAGGGGTGTGTGTGCCCGTGTGTGTGAGAGAACATTAATTTTTACTAAATGTGAATTGTCTCCTTTTGCAAAAAGTCTCCTCAAAATCACTGGCCCAGCCATAAGTATATGCAGTATAAACAAAGCAATCGGATCTGGTGTGGATAGCTGAGCTGGGATAACTTAACTTTTCTGGAGGCTGATACTAGGTGGAGACTGGAAGTCCCTGGGATTTCGAATAGCCCACCTGGTTGACCTTGCTGCTCAATTCTGCCAAGGCCACAAGGGGGCAGCATGTAACACCTAAGTTTCCTGAAGATGTCCTGTCCCACCCTTTTCCCAACTTCGCCAACTCTAGGAAACTTACGGGGAGTGATTGTTCCCTTTCTCAGAGGATACTCGATCCTTAACCTCTTCCCTGATAAGACCCTTAAATTGTGTTTGTTTTTTGAAGATTTATTTATACATCCAAGTGCTGGGGTGCTGGCCAGAGGTGGGAGTGTGTGTGTGAGAGGATTCACCAGAGACAGAGTGGGAGAAGAACAGACAGACTGACTGAAATACACTGCTGAGGGGAATAGCAGGCGAGACAGGAGAGGTCTGCTGTACCATGTGGGTCAACTCCCTGGCTGGGGATCGAACTTGTGCTTCAGTGGCTGCCAATAGCTTCATAGTGCTGAGACTTAATCCCTTGCACCACCAGGAGGCCCAAGACCCTTAAATTTTGAAGGGAGGGGCCTCCCTAGGGCAACAATGAGGACAAGAAAAACTATCCAAGAGTATTACATCTGTCTCCATTCTCCTTTCTCCTGCACTCTGCTTCCATCACACTGGTCCTAAACTCACCTCCATGTTTTCAGAATGTACTGGCCCCAGTCCTGCAATATCCTTTTATGTCTTTTCCATATATATCAAGGCCTCATTTCAGTGGTCTTACTGAGCAACTTCTAACTCCTGGGGTAGAATTAGTGAAGAGCTCTGATCTCCAACAGCTCTGATTGCCTCTATTATTGGTCATACACACATCAGGCAAATATTTCTCTGACACTTTGTGTGTCAATGTTTTGGACATTATGAAGACAGTTGAAAACAAGTCAGACCAGGTCTGTGCTATCATGAAGTTTATCTTAGTTGGGGACAGGAGAAGACAGTAGGAGTGAGAATGAGAGAGAGACAAAACACAAGACCAGTTCAGCTCTGAAGAAATTACCCCTCTGCTGGAACTTTCTGGTTTGGGCTGTTATCTTCACAGACAGTCCTCTCCCAGCTCAGGGTCATCCATGAGGGTCACCTGCAGAGCCCAGCACCAGCAGGGCCTAGTCTTTACCCGCCTCTCTAGCCATCCATTGGCCTCCGTAAGGTGGTATTTAAGCCCCCCAACCCCTTTGAGCAGAGGACCCTAGGGTGAGGTCCAAAGCCTGGTCACATGACCAACTTGGGTATGGCCTCTGTAAGGCCCCCTGAACCAGGCTGGCAACATTACAGCTTGGATGCTGGCCCACACCCTAGTATGGGAAGAGGGGACAGGAGGACAGCAAGGTGGTCACTTAGGAGGGGTGAATCCAGCTGTGCCAGGCTGAACTGGGCTCCTCTGGCTGGCTGGTGCCAAAGAGACCTGAAACAGAGCTGTCTCCCTTTCACAGCCCTGAATCCACCACCTCTTCAGCTCCCAACCTTTCTCCCAAGCTCCCCTGCATTCAGTGAAGGTCTGTGGGAAAGAGGCTTTCTAAGATCTTGGATGTGTCAAAATGTCTTTATTTTGCCTTAAATGACAACTTGGCAATGTGTGGGATTCTCGGCACGCAATTATTTGCCCTCAGCACTCTGGAGATACTATTCCATTGTCTTTTGGCATCTGTTGTTGCTGATGAGAAGCTTATTGTCAATTCAATTATTGGACCTTTGTAGATAAATCATCTTTTCTCTCTGGTGGCTTTTAGAATATTCTTTTTATTCTTAATGTTATACTTAAGCTATAAGGTGTCTAGATGTAGTTTTGTTTTAAAAGTATCTTACTAGGCAGTCTGGACCTTTTAAATCTAGAAATTCACATCTTGTTTCTGGAAAGAGCTTCGTCATTCATTCCAGTATCTTTTTCTGAAACTAATAATATGTATGTGCTGGAGTTTCTCATTCAATCTTCCATGCTCTTGTATTATGTTTAATCTTTTTATTGTTCTGTGCTTCATTCTGGAGACTTTCCCATTTTAGTTTCTAACTTACAAATTCTCTCTTCAGCTACATTTACTGATTTATTGATTTTTTTAAAAATGTCAGTAACTTCAGGTTTTATTTCTATAATCTCAGAACGTTCTATCCTAAAAATTCAGACTATGGTTCTGTTCATATCTGCTACATGTTCCTGTTTGATAGCTTTCTGTTCTTATTTTATAGGTGCTATTCATTTCTTTTATCTTTTTGAAGATGTTAACTATGTTAAACTTCCTTTCAGATTGTCACATTATCTATAGATCGTTAAGTATAATTCTCCCATGAGAAAGAAGTCTCTCAAGATATCATA